GCCAATCAAGTCGGCGAACCACTCTGGCTTCACAGGTATCCGCCCAATCGAGAATTCCAAAATGGCATGCAGAGATGATAGGACAATCATTCAGGGGAACCACAAATAACAATGCAGGAATGAACAGACGCCACTTCTGCAGGGTTACAATCTCAAACTGTCTTCACTCGACCTTTACTTGCCCGCCACGGCACTCGATTCGCCGGAGCGTCTTGCAGCATTCCATAACATCCTGCCTAAGGTCAGTTTGGGATTTTCTGCGTCGATGTTGGGTTTGAATTCCCTTTAGGGCCATAAGACGTCTGTGACTCTCTGTTGGACACCGCGCTAGGTCAGCTACTTGATGAAACAAGGAAACAATCAACTCAACGAGGGACGGAGCATCGAACATCCACGACAATGTATGCAGCGCCTACAGAAACCCATCGGAACCCCACAAGGCCCTACGTGATCTCTACGCAGCTCTAGATCAGCTGTAGCAAAAAGGCTATGAAACCCGTACATTATCCCAATAATACGCATCCTGTTAACAAAGAGTCTAGGACTCTAATATTGTAATTCTTCAGGCCCCTGCATAACAAGCCTGCTTCTCGGAGAATGAGTGACATTACTTGTAGGTTGCTTCCCGTCAGCAGAAAAGCGAGCGCCGCTTGCGACGGGCCTGCAACGAACAGGCATTCAAAACAGTGGGGCAACAATGGAAATACTAAATACCAAGAATAACAATACTGATAAGAGAATCTGTGCTGATATCCCTAAACCTTTAGGGTTCAGGTTTTGTGTGTTTCAGATTCAACTCGCCAGGATTCAATTCTGGCTTTGGGTTGGCTTGGGGTTCGGGCTTTCAGATTTTGGACCCACGATCCACCATGCTGAAAAGCCTCCTTATGCCTCCAAACAACATGACTGAAGGAGAAGTATCTGAGAGTAGCACGAATACAGGTTCCACTCAAGGTAAACACTAAATTGTGAAGAGCTCCCAAAAGAGCAATGCCTTTAATTTGTTCGCAGCCTTCTTTGACCACTAAGCGTTGCAGATGCAGGATCCTGCCCTCCAAGGTCTGCAGACGGAAAGCTGTGACTGGATTACCTGTTGGCATGGAGATCAAACAAGCTCCTGCTTATTAATAAGAGGGCTGAAACGTGAAAATGCTTGTTCAAAGTTCCAAGCACCAATCCAAGCTCTAAGAGCCTGCAAACGGAAACTCCATGAGCCTTCTGCACTGCCAAGCCTCCACACCGCAAACACAACAGCATCGATCCCCGAATCTGAAATCCATCCCACGATGCAATACAACAGGCCACACCGCTCACTTTTTATTGTTGGAACCCCACAAGGGACGCATAAGAAGTTAGAGAAGACCTGACGCCGGCCTTTGAAGTCCTCCAGCAGGTCGCGCCATTGATCTCCAACCGGCCCTGGCTTCCTTGTTGGCTTGGGGGACCCTTTGGGGATTCTGGAGGGTTTGAAAGTCATCCAACTCTGATGTCCCAGTCTGTCACAGCTTCCAGAAGAGCCCCAACAGCACACCCCATAATTCTGAGCCCCATCAGCTCCCCAACAGACCTCCTAGTCTATCGGTTCACGACAACAATTCGTGCGGACCGTCCTTTAACATGAAAGCTTTTGGATACCTAGGTCCCCCTAGAAAGCCTTCTAAAGGGACCTTTGTCCTATTCTAGGTACCCCTAGTTTTTTGAACCCCGCCCTCAGGTTTTCGGAACATGGCCCAGCCACTCCCTCTCGTAGTAAACGGTTTCCGTCAGCCTCTCCTGGGATGTAGAGATTGGAGAGCTGGATTCAAATAGGGTGTTTAGGTTTGGAGTGAAAGGCTTCACGTTCAAAAGCCGTTTGTGTTGCTTTTAATGCCCTTTCGCGCCGGGAGGGCAAGACCCACTGAGCACCTGAGTTGGTTGTTTTTCCCGAGTGCTCCGCAGAAGGGTTCCTGTTTGAAGCATTGGGGTCCAAGGGTTTAGGATGTGTCCAAAAAATGTTGTTTTTTTGTGTTGGCAAAGTTCCCGCAAGCATCCGCAAGCAGCTCATAGCCGGACCTCCAGGGTCCGGAGAGTGAGGTGTGCACAGTGCAGCGTGGAAGTGGAGAGTGTGGAGAGTGGAGAGTGGCGAGTGGATGGAGTGGAGTCGAGTGGAGTGTAGTGGAGTGGTGAGTGGAGGGGAACGTGGAGAATGGAGAGCGGAGCGAAGTGTGGAGAATGGAGAGTGGAGCATGGAGAGGAAATTGGAGTGGAAAGTGGTGGACTGGAGTGTGGAGATTGGGGAGTGGAGTGGAGAGTGGAAAGTGAATTGTGGAGAGCGAAGTGTGGAGAGTAGAGTGTGGAGAGTCGAGAGTGGGGAGTGGGGATTCTTTGTAGTGAGTTCTGCGAATCATGTCGTGCGTGACACGTCTAATCTTCGTGTCTGCATTCGGGTTCGTGGCTGCACGCAGGCTTGTGCACACCTAGCAGATTAAGAAACCATGCTCATCATTCCCACGCTCGCTTTAATACATATCTCGCATATGTGACCTCATCATATGTGTATATACATATATCTATATATGTATATACGGATTTGAAGAACTGGACTGCCATAAGGCGTGGGGTTTGTCTTCAACTTGGTCGAGTCCCTGACAGATACTTTCATAAATATGACGGGACTGATTCCAAGCGTTTTCCCTTGGAAGTGGCTCGGATTCTAATCCCTTCCAGACTTTAAGTTCCAATGAAGCCCCACGTCCAGAATCTTAGATCCCAAGCTGCAAGCCTTTCCCTGAAGCGAAGCCGAGAAACCCATGTGGCAAGCCACTGAAGGGCGTCCACAGTGTTCCTTCCAAGCTTGAGAGAGTAGAGATCCAAATGGATTTCAACCTTATGCCCTATGCGTACCTTGTGTGTACGGAAGGTATACGTAAAAGATCCCCGTGCACAGAGGTCTTAGCTTGTCACTCTAGGCTGCTTCAGCGAAGCTTGAGGTCCAGCATTTCAAGGTAAAAAGTTGGCCCCTTGCGAATAATTCGTTGGTGATCAATGGGTTTTCATGGCATCGATTTCAAGAACTATTCTGGGAGCACAGCTGCCATGGGATTCAGGCTTCGCAGCTTCAGGTGTTGCTCGGATTCATTTCCACAAACCACCAAGAAGACAGCAAAACGACAGATGTCTTGTCCACAGCCTGAAGCCATGAACTTTGCAATTCTCTTGGCACTTCCCACCGCCAGCCTTCTGAATTCTGACGATTTGGCTTCAAAAAGTCTACATGGGGGTTTCCCAAAATTAGGGGTACCATTTTGGGGGTCCCAATAATAAGGACTATAGTATTTTGGGGTCTATATTGGGGTTCCCTTATTTAGGGAAACTACCACATAGTTACCCTTATACACTCCCAATATTCCCCCTTTTCCCCCCAAAAGAAACAATGAAGCTGCCAAGATCCTCATGATGAGGAGGCCGCCCTGGAGACGAACGAAGCCCCTCCTGAGTGCAGTAACAGTTCATGGATGATCTAATCCGTAACTCATCCCCTCCCCTTAGCCCTAAACCCTAAAAATCCCTAAAACTATACCCTAAATCCCAAACCTACATTTCCAGGCCTTATCTTTTGTTCCAATTCCTTTCGCTACAAGCCGGGCATCTTCTTCGTCACAGCGAGCTCTTGGGCTGAGCCCCAGGGGATTTTCCTGGTGCCGTCATAATAGGAGAAAGCCACGTCCACCTCCAGCCTAGACTGGTTTCCAAGGTTCTGGATATGGATTAGGTATTAGGGTTTAAGGTTCTGGAATTTGGGAATTTAAGGTCCCGGGCTTAGACTTCAGGGCTGGTCTCTTTAGTGTGGGCTGCCGAGCTTCACATTAGTATCGGATGTCCACATAGCTACGCGGGAAATCATCATGTCACTGCAACGGGCTACAGTACTCATTCACAAATCTGTTCATTCCCGGTATTGATCCAAACGAGACGAGCACGGTAATAGCTCAATTTCATGTCAGAACGGAGATGTCATTTGAAGACAACACCCTAATAGTTGCGTAGCTAGGTTAGAGTCTTCAAGTAAACTTGGAAACATAAAGAATGCAGTTTGTGGCCAGCAGACGAAAAAAAAGGGACTACTGCGGGCTTCGCATGTTCCATGTTCGAGAATCCATTTAGACATGCTTCCCGGGATGTGGTGGGAGTTCGAGTGAGCATTAGATGGCGATAATGCTGAGAAAATCACATCTTGAGAAAAGCCGTATCAAGACTCCGTGCCACCTTGGCGCGGTAAGAACATTTCTACCCAATTTGCAAGGGAGGACAGCGGGGATCCACTGTTAGCAGGGAGCGCGGTGAAAAAGAACTACTTCCAACAGCCTAGGTGCTGCGAGAGCATCTCGAGGATGTGCATGAAGGGCCGGACCTCGTGTCAGGATCACAGGTGCAGTTCCAGAACCAATTTCCCCAACGCCTGGTGCCTATCATTCCCTACGGCTGCCGCATTGCTGCGTGGAAAAAGCCATGTCCAAGCACTGCCAGGCGGCTACGAGCATGTCCTTGGTTGTTACCAGAGAGTTGGCTGGCATTGTCCTAAATTTCACCAGCTCTCTGAAATGCTCTCACGCTCTTTGCCATGGAGGATCTGTTAAAACATTCGCTGATTGACAAAGTGCATTGGGGATAAGTCGCGGCTTGCCTGGCCCAACTACGGCAAAAGAACAGATAGGACCCATCCCAGGAACAGGCAGCTGTTGGGAAACAGCTGGGAACTTCAGCGCATCTCCTAAATCCGCCTGAATGCCAGCAAATATGCAAAGATCAACAAAACCCGGTGTCTGAGTCCATGCACAAGATATAGCTGATCTCCTGCGCTTGCAGAATGCCTTTCATCTAAGGGTTTCTTGGGACGGTGTGGGCTGCTGCATGAGATGTCAAGGAGTTTCGCGACTTTTGGTTTCATGACAGTCTTTCGATCCAAGGCTTATTTCCTAGGATGCTAGGATTTGGGTTCCCCCCATCCTGTTTTCAGATTCTCAGCTCGGAACTTCCTCTTCGGGATGCACGCGTGGGGCATACAACGCGCAGCTGTAGACAGGATCCTTGATGTGGACGAGCTTGTGTCGCCAAAGCCAGAGATATTGATACAACCTTGGTCCATGTAGATTCCTAACGGTTTCCATTTCTTTCAGCCGTTAGAGTGGACAGGAACACAGAAAGTACCATGGTATGTAAGAGTTGTAGTCCTGGCGAATAAGGCATCTTCAGCCGCTTTCGAGTCTCAAGCTTATAGCCCAACTCCTGAACTCGACCTGCCAGATCCTACATGTCCTGAACTGACATTTCCTGCGAGAAAAGTCTACCAAGCTATGGCAGGTGGCAAGCTCTGCAAGAAGATGTTCCACATGCCCCCTGCATGGTCTATCTGCTTGTTGAAGCTATGCCAGTAAACACAATCCCTCAACCAAACCCTAAAATCAAAATCCCAGTTCTGAAGCCCAGCCTACATCCTGCAAAGGGAGGGCTTTGAAAATCACGATCTTGGTTCTGGGCTCCCATTGTGTGGCGGCCCTCAATATACAAGGTACCCACAAACAGCAAAGGGGCCATAACTTTGACAACCTTCCATAGACAACGAAGCCCTACAGCCTATATGCCTGTATATCCCCAGGTAGTCCATACAAAGGACCCACAAGCCCTCAAACCCTTGCAGCGTAGTGGCTTCATGGGCTGGTATGTGAGCTTCCGGTAGTTCCTCTTTTTTCCGAAGGTTTAAGAGCTTAGAGCTTTGGGTTTCTCAAAGACATAGGCCTCTCGTGGCTGAGGGGTATCAAAAGGGTAAGAAGGGGCGAAGGGTTTCTGAAGTTCGGTATAAGAAGGCTTGATATACCTTAACATACGGGCTGGACCCTGCTTAGCATAAATGCCAAAACCAATCCACATTTTTTTGATAGCATAAACACCGTGTCTGATGGTCATGGCCATGACCCCTGTCATCATTGCTACTCTTCCCACTTTGGGTGGCAGGGGTTCAACGGCGCTTGCCGGGCTGACAACCTAAGAAAGCTGACCCAGCTGCCTAGACTGATGTTTCCGGTTGCTACTCCGGAACCGAGAAAAAGTTACCGCAGACAGGAAAACCAATTGTTTATTGTATATCCATATCATTGTAACTGACTTTAAGTTCCTCAACGGAAACACATTTTTTTAGTTAAGCAAATGCTGAAGCAGGGTGCTCCGCGTCGAAAGGATCTGCATGATCGCTGAGGAGTGGGTCATGGTCCTGCCAGGAGTTTAGCTCCGTAATTGGGGATTTGGACAGACATATGGCAAATACTCTCGGATAGGTTTGGCCACACGGGCATGTCACAACTCTTGCAAATAGGGCCCTTAACAACCAACAAGGCCGTTTGCACCTATGAAATTGCCTTCTTGTTGTGGCATAAGCAGTCGCGGCCCAGTTTGGGGTTTCAGGTTGATAACGCCTCTAGACTCTGAATTTTTCCCGAAATTAGGATGTACCTTTTGGGGGTCCTATAATCATAAGGTTTAGAGTATTCTGGGGTCAGTATTGGCGTCCCCCTTTTTATGGAAATTACCACTCTAGACAATTGCTCGCAACAATTGCTATGCCTGTGCGAGGCCCAACAAGACTCGGGTAGACCTGACAGGCGACCCTTGCAGGGTAAAATAATGAAGAAACAATCCTTACCACAAGCCCTGAATTCAACAACCTAGGACGTCCCATAAAGCTGGTACATCTCCTCTCGTCGAGTGTCGAAGTTCACTCAAACCCAGTTCACATAGACCCCAGACCCTAATCCCTAAACCCTGGCTGAGGGTTTAGGTTTCCGGAGGATTTCGCGACTGACGGCCAAGTGGCCTCAAAGTGAACAAACTCCAGAAATGGCATCTTTGCGGATACCACCTGCGCCACATTGTCCCCATTGGAGAACACGTGTAGAGGTTTCCGAAAATTAGGGGCTTCTTTTTGGGAGCATCTATAGTAAGGACCATTGTATACTAAAGTATAAAAAGGCTAACCGGATAGCGGTTATGCGGATGGTAAAGGATCTGGAGCTTCATGAAATGCCCACATATGGACTGTAAGGGTATGAATAGGGTATACAGGGCTTCACTTGCTGGAGCCTTTGTGCATTCTACATGAGCGGGCTATAAGAATCCCACTCCCAGAAGCTCAAGCCCAAACGACAACTCCTGCCAATGAAGGTATACTTGCATAAGCCTCAATTGAAAACGGGTGCAGAATTCTTTTTTTTTTTTTTTTTTTTTGTTTTTGGCTTGTTTTGATAGAAAGTCTCAGGCGAGAGCTTGATTTGGCAATCAAAATCAGGAAAAAAATCAGG